TGGTGTGTGTGTGTATGTGTATGTGTGTGTATATATATATATATATATATATATATATATATATATATATAAAATATGGTAGTATATATATTATTTCATATCCACACGGCTAGCATCTCAATTATTCAGCAATCTATTATAATGCCAGGGTAAGTCTCCCCTTCACTTGCTTATCATTGCTATATTGTACAGTCGCTGAGCATGCTCAGATATCCTCTTTAGAAAAAAAAAAAATCCATCATTGACATCGACTATGTCAGGTGGTGTTTAGTAACATATGTTATATTCTTTACATGATATCTAGGCTGCTTGTGCGTTATATCTTTGATCTTTTAAGTTAAAAATATACAAATATTTATGTCATTGTTTACATCTACTTCTTTCAATGGTGTTTCCTCTGTAAACATATGTATATATAGATAATATATATACATATATATATATATATATATATATCTGTATATATAGATCTTTTACGCATATATATAAACATATTTATATATATATATACTCACACTCTTATATAATAATTATATCCTCTATATATATATATATATATATATATATATATATATATATATATATATATATATATATATATATATATATATAGAGAGAGAGAGAGAGAGAGAGAGAGAGAGAGAGAAAGAGAGAGAGAGAGAGAAAAGATGGCTGGGTGGACACAAGGAAGGGACAAATATCTGCACTTGACGGTTTCTAATAAAGATCAGTGTTTATTATCATTCATATTTTTCTCTCCCTCACATCATCTCTCTCTCTTCCTCACATCGTCTCTCTCCCCCACATCGTCTCTCTCTCTCTCTCTATCTCTTGGCAATACACAGGGAGTAATAATAATAAGTAACTGTGACGCTGACCGACTTCAGCCCTTACACACTTACATAGCCATACACACACACACACACATGGACAGAGAAAGAAACAGAGCTTGAGCATGTGTAAGAGAAAGGGTGGTAGAAATATATAGTGGTTTACAGCTAGGCTGAGATATCTGTGTCTTTCTGCTCAAACACATCCAATTTGAGCAAATCCCTTAGTAGTCATCTTTTACAACATGCCTTTTAGGGGGCAGTGTCATTCCCCCCCCCCCCCCCCCACACACACACACACATAAATGAGATTTCAGAACCCCATACATGAAGCTTTAGGAAAAAGACCAAAATGAAGGTAGGTAACTCAATGCATGGTTTGCCTTTGCAGTACACTGACAACAACCGAAACAACCATATATGAACAAAGAAGAATGTACTAGATTCCATTTTTATAATGACCTATTCACAATTGTGTTGTTATGTTTTCATACATATTCACAGTTATGTGGTTATTTAAGAAGTGGTGATTTCTCAACTGTTGGCAAAACACTTTCTAATACAAGGTAAAAAAAAAAAAAAAAATTACAAATAACAATTCCTTGTTTTGGTGCAATAAACATTTTGTAGCCAACATTCTTGGCACAAGAAAACTAGACCATAATTATAGCTGAAACTGCCTGCAGTAGGTTAAACGTGGTTGATTTTTTTGTTTTGTTTTCAAAAATGGATGGATGGATGGATGAAGGGCCAATCAGTCTACAGGAAGTTGCCTTTTTTTTTTTTTAAATGGATGGTTGGATGGATGAGGGCCAATCAGTCTTCAGGAAGTTGCCTTTTTATGTTTTGTTTTCAAAAATGGATGGTTGGATGGATGAGGGCCAATCAGTCTATGGGCAGTTGCCCTGGATGGATTCTCCTGGGAAAACAGTTGTGGATAAAGAACACCATATAAACAAGGCTACATCATGTCCCTGTCCCAGATAACTATCCGGTAAGTTAATCCTGCCAATAAATGCTCAATGGCGTCGTCTGAAAGGTGCAAACATTACTGCTCCATGGCGTCGTCTGAAAGGTGCAAACATTACTGCTCCATGGCGTCGTCTGAAAGGTGCAAACATTACTGCTCCATGGCGTCGTCTGAAAGGTGCAAAAATTGCTGCTCCATGGCATCGTCTGAAAGGCGTTTTTGCCGTGTTTTGCTGTAATTAGGCACAATGCAGTTACCTCACCCAGAAGAAATGTGAGCACAAACAAATGGGAACTCAAATCTAATCTGAAACAATCTACAGGGTAAAAATATTTTTAAAACATGCGTTTATCTGCAACAAGAAAATGAACACACGTTGGAAAAACAGTAAAAAACATTGTACACAAACATTTTGGCAGTGTGATATCGGAGAAATTATGAAAGAAACTAGGCAGCACATTTGTTGTATGTGCGTGTCAATGATAGGTATGAGCAACAAATCATGTGTATGTGACAAATCATATTTTGCATAGAATCAATAGCCATGTGTGTTCTACTTTTTATACACTGCAAGAAGTAGAGTGAAAATAAATTATCCTTATCCATGCCACTGGGAGAAATACACTGAAAATAAACAATCCTTTTCTATACCACTGGAAGGAGTATCTTCTTCTTCTGCCTTTCTAGCCCCCAATGGAGCATAGGCCCTCAACCAACTCACACCAAGTCGTTCTATCCTTTGCTATCGCATGCAGCTCTCCCCATGTCCTCCCTATCTTTCTAACTTCATTCTCCAGCTCCCTTCTCCATGTATTTGTTGGCCTTCCTTTATTCCAATGCAAAGACATCATTCAAGTTATATTGTTCTGCGGTTTTCTCAATGTGTGTCCTGTCCAACGCCAGCATCTTTTCTTCACCTCTTCGTCGACTGGAGCTTGCTTATACTAGGAGGAGTAAAGTGAAAATAAATTATCCTTTCCCATGTCATAAGGCATCAACTGGGAATATGGTGGTTGCCTGAAATTTGTAATCAAAAAGAAAATAGAAATACCAATAACTATCTTCAATAAAATGTGAAAATTATTGACAGCTAGAGAGATAAACAATACACTGATCATGAGAATTGTCAAATGCTATCTATACTCAACCCTGCTGTATGTTGCAGAAACTGGGACAATGAACAAACAACTGGAAAATCAAACCAAGTCTCTGGAAATGTGGATATACAGAAGAAGAGGCCAGACTTCATGGAAACAAAAACAAATTCTGGAAAGTGTGAATGAAAAGAAAAATACTGAAAGAAATTATTTTAAAAAATATTTTTTTTTTAAAGACAACTGAAACCCATTATCCCACATGAAAATGTATAACAATCTTTAAAAACCATACTGGAGGGAAAGGTCAAGGCTGAACGAGCCCTGAAGCAAAACATACAATTTTTTTTAAAATACATGAACAACTAAACATAACATTTGCGGCAGAGGGAAAATGAGGTAGTGGTAACAGCCAACCTGGCATTAGCTCATTCAGTTCCGATCAGTGGTTAGTTTAACTCTGTATCCTTTCTTAGTAGTAAGTGAATGTGTTTAACAATATCATGTTTCTTGAGTCCCAGGGTTCATTCTCCACTAGACAGACATTAATCCATTCTGGCAGCTGGTGGATGAGGTGGTCTAGTTGTTGTTATCCAGTTTGGTGATGGGTGGATGAGGTGGTCTGGTTGTTGTTATCCAGTTTGGTGATGGGTGGATGAGGTGGTCTAGTTGTTGTTATCCAGTGTTTGGTGATGGGTGGATGAGGTGGTCTAGTTGTTGTTATCCAGTTTGGTGATGGGTGGATGAGGTGGTCTTGTTGTTGTTATCCAGTTTGGTGATGGGTGGATGAGGTGGTCTAGTTGTTGTTATCCAGTTTGGTGATGGGTGGATGAGGTGGTCTAGATGTTGTTATCCAGTTTGGTGATGGGTGGAAGAGATGGACTAGACAAACTTCTGTTACTGCCAGACTAGCATCGGTGAATGAGTGAATGAAATACACCAGATAGAAATCAATCCAGTCATCAGATGAGGCAGTCTAAACAGACTTTTATTTTCCATGTTGTTGAATGACAGCCAAGATGGTGGTGCGGAAGAAACCATTACTAGCCTAGGTTGGCAATCTCTAGTGAACAAGATAGACTTCTGTTATCCGGGCTGGTGACTGGCAGAGGAGGTGAATTAGACAGATTTTTATTGGCTAAGGTCTAAGGTTGGCAGATCAAGTGGACGAGACAGACTTTTTTTTATTTTGGGCTGGTGACTGGCAGAGGAGGTGAATTAGACAGATTTTTATTGGCTAAGGTTGGCAGATCAAGTGGACGAGACAGACTTTTTTTTTTAAATTTTAGGCTGGTGACAGGAAGAGGAGGTGAATTAGACAGATTTGTATTGGCTAAGGTTGGCAGATCAAGTGGACGAGACAGACTTTTTTTTAAAATTTTAGGCTGGTGACAGGAAGAGTAGGTGAATTAGACAGATGTTTATTGGCGAAGGTCTAAGGTTGGCAGATTAAGTGGACGAGACAGACTTTTGTTATCCTGGTTGGTAACTGGCAAATGAGGTGTTCCTGCTGGCTGTCGGATAAAGTTATCTACTGAGCTGTCAGCGTTTGTGGCATGAGCTTTGCAAGCGCGATTTGTAATGCTGGGGTGCCGGGTTCGATCTCAGTTCAGGCGATTTGGTAGCACACCCTCTTGCTTTGTTTCCACAGTGGTACCGAGAGCCGACCATTAAGTGCAACGACAAACTACAGATGTAAAATGTGCCTAGAAAAACTGTTGCTGTCACAGCCAAAAACTGTTGCTGGCTAAGGTCTGAGACTCAGTGAACTAGACAGACTTGCTGCTGAAGATATGAAGCTGGCTGAATCAAGTGGACAAGATAGTCTGTTATTGGTCAAGGTCTGAAGCTGGCTGATTCAAGTGGACAAGACAGACCTGCTGGTGAAGATCTCAAGCTGGCTGAATCAAGTGGACTAGACAAACTTGCTGGTGAAGATCTCAAGCTGGCTGAATCAAGTGGACTAGACAAACTTGCTGGTGAAGATCTCAAGCTGGCTGAATCAAGTGGACTAGACAGACTGTTGATGGTCAAAGACTGCTGGCTGATTCAAGTGGACTAGACAGACTGTTGTTACCCAGGTTGGAGACTAGCAGATGAGAAGGACTAAACCAAAGGTGGATGATCTATTTCAGAAGCTGGCAGGCGAGGTGAACTAGACAAACTGCTCATGGGCGGTGACCTGGGAGTCGACTGTGAGAACTTTTCCAGAAAGATCTGCTCCAACCATTGCAGGACTTCTTCAATCTTATGTTTAGAGACTGTCTGTGGGACTCTTGCTGTCAGGCTTGATGTTGACGAGGGGATGGTGGCAGGTGATGGGGCTGAGGTAGATTCTGAGGCCTGGGGATTATGTTCACTAGCAGCTGTATTTACGCCAGCGGCTGTTGTTGCAACTACATCAATCAATGCAACATCATCATCTGGTGGAATCAGGTGACGCTTCACTGACTGCAACATCTGAAATTGTACACATATGGAACATATTTTAGACATATCTAATATGTTTTATCTAAGAAAGACAACTATTATATGCTCTATTTAAGAGAGATAACTAGTGTATATGCTCCAACCATAAAGATAACTATATATTATATGAAACTGTGCACATAAGGAACATATTTTACAGATAACTAATATATATTTTATCTGAGAAAAAGAATTATTCTATGCTCTATTTGAGAGAGAAAACAAGTATATGCTCCAAATATGGAGATAACTATTTATTATATAAAACTGTGCACATATGGAACATATTTTAGCGATAACTAGTATAAGATAACTAATCATTTTTTATCCAATAAACAGAACTACTGTGCTCTATTTAAGAGAGATAACTAACATATGCTCTAACTTTGGTGATAATTTTATGTGATACGCAATCCCAGAATTCCAAACAAACGGTTCTGGGATCCCATTTCTGGAAGGGGGGGGGGGGGGGGAAGTGTGTGCCCCTTAACTCCTTCAGTCCCAGGCGGTTTAACATCAGAAGTACAAGGGCAGTAAAGAGAGGCGCAAAATTGGTGCATCTGGGTGCAGATGTTGCAGCCTAGCTGTAAACCACCCCATTAAGGTGACTGCAGAAGATCCTACTGAAGTGACCCAGAATGAACTTTTCTTCAGATATAACCAGTGAATGTTCTATACCACTTTAACATAACTTCACACTAATGTGGAACAAGTGAATCTTCTACCCCACACTACTGTGTAACCAGTGAATGTTCTACCTCATACTAATCTGTAACCAGTGAATGTTCTACCCCACAATAATGTGTAACCAGTGAATGTTCTACCTCATACTAATCTGTAACCAGTGAATGTTCTACCTCACACTAATGTGGAACCAGTGAATATTCTACCTCACACTAATGTGTAACCAGTGAATGTTCTACCTCACACTACTGTGGAACCAGTGAATGTTCTACCTCACACTAATGTGGAACCAGTGAATGTTCTACCTCACACTAATGTGAAACCAGTGAATGTTCCACCTCACACTAATGTGGAACAAGTGAATGTTCTACCTCACACTAATGTGTAACCAGTGAATGTTCTACCTCACACTACTGTGGAACCAGTAAATGTTCTACCCCACACTAATGTGTAACCAGTGAATGTTCTACCTCACACTAATGTGGAACCAGTGAATCTTCTACCTCACACTAATGTGGAACCAGAGAATGTTCTACCCCACAATAATGTGTAGCCAGTGAATGTTCTACCCCACAATAATGTGTAACCAGTGAATGTTCTACCCCACAATAATGTGTAGCCAGTGAATGTTCTACCCCACAATAATGTATAACCAGTGAATGTTCTACCCCACAATAATGTGTAACCAGTGAATGTTCTACCCCACAATAATATGTAACCAGTGAATGTTCTACCCAACACTAATGTGTAACCAGTGAATGTTCTACCTCACACTACTGTGTAACCAGTGAATGTTCTACCCCACACTAATGTGTAACCAGTGAATGTTCTACCCCACAATAATGTGTAACCAGTGAATGTTCTACCCCACACTAATGTGTAACCAGTGAATGTTCTACCCCACACTAATGTGTAACCAGTGAATGTTCTACTTCATACTAATGTGTAACCAGTGAATGTTCTACCTCATACTAATGTGTAACCAGTGAATGTTCTACTCCACAGAAATCACAAAAGATTTATCTATCCTACAAAAGGTAACTGAGGCATGTTCTAACTCTAAGACAACAATCAAGTTACTAAAAGTTAGCATTCTTTGGATCTTTATTGAAGAAATGCAGGTGTGTTGGGAAACAAACAGGCAGAGATTGGTTGGTGCTGCACCACCTAGTGGTAAACTGATGCATGAAAAGCTAGATGCGGTCAAGGCCCTTTGGGTGCAAGTAAACAATGCTGAGGTGTGAATAGATTAAATCAAATTAATACTGGTACCATCAGTTCTGGACTTGTTCACTGGCTGCTGAAGATAAGAACGGAGTGCTTATAAAAATGTGACATGTGCTGGGATATTGGTCTTAACTTAATACAAGACAACAGAATAATCAAGTTACCTTCGAAAGACATGTGATCCCAAGGGAAGATTTGTACTGGCAGGACAGCATGACTCGGTTGACATAGTTGGAGTACTTCTCTGCCAACTCACTGGCAGGGCCCAGAATTTCCCTCAGGTTTTCCCTGTAGATGATCTTGTAATCAAACTTGAAGGGCAGATCTGTTGAGCATACAGAAGAAAAAGATGACATGTACTCAGTTTTTACATCGTCAAAATCACTTGGCAGCACTTCTAGGCCTCATTGTGATAGGATAAAAGAATAGACCCACCGCTCCGATGATAAGCTTTTTGTAAAAACTGACCAATTAAGGGTGCTTAATTCAAAGTCCACCTGCCTGAGAGGCCAGGAACCAAAAGCCTGCAAAAAAAATAAGCCAGATCTGTAAAACAGATGTGCCTGCAAAACTCAAGTTTTGGAACAAGATTAAAATCCCGAAGTGGACAAACAAAAGCATAAATTTCTGCTGGAGTTTACAGTTGGCGAACATAAAAAAGAAGACGATTTTATAGTATCATTCAATGGAAAATGTTATGCATTTAGTGCATGTGCAAGGTATTGGTTTTGCCAGGGATGGGCATTTTGTATGGGTTTTGTGGATACAGTAAAGTAAAGGACCCTTTTCCCACGCCTTTAGGCTTATTGGGTAATGCAGTCAGCATCACCCTGGCTGCCTTTACTTCCCAGGGCTGTACCTGGTTCGCATTCAAGGCTGGGTCGACCTGGGTTTTGTGGATATGGGACTGAAGCAATAATGTACAGTTTGCTGTGAGGTTGGAACTATGACTGGCTGACTCTTGAGAACTTGACTCAATCAATCAGCTGCTGTCTCCTCAATGAAAGTTAGCTGCTGCATCATTAATCATGCGCGGACCAAACCAACAAATCACTAAACATATTCTAAATATTCTATTACTATGAATCCATTAAACTCCAAGATGTATAGAACATTATTAAAAAATTTTGTTAAAAAGACCGTAGAATTGCAAGTTCTTACAATGGATAGAAACACATTATCCATCCTAAGAACTTGCAATTCTACGGTCATCATCACAGATAACTCCCATCCTAGGTCCTACTTTGTGCGTGCGTGGGTGCGCACGGGCATGTGTAAAAGAGGGCCGGAGACACACCCACTGCCCCCCCCCCCCCCCCCCCTAACAGGCATGTTGTGAAAATTGACTAATTAGGTGTGTCCTTCAAAGTCAGAGTACATCTGCCTGAGAGGTTAGCAACCAATAGTCTGCATACAAATAAGCCAGATATGTAAAATGGATGAGCATGCAAAACTCAAGTTCTAGATCAAGACCAAAATCCAGAAGTGGATGAACAACCAGAACTTTCTGCCGCCATTTACAGCTAGTGAACGCTAAGAAAGAAGAAGAAGTTTACAGATAACACCATCTGAAGAAGAAGAAGAAGAATAGAGGAGAGTAAGAAAAGTAGTGTGGACTCACTGCAAGGATACTGGGTACTCTGTGTCTTGCTGACGGTCAGACATTGGATGTCGGAGTACGCATGTGGGCTGCAAGTGTTGTAGGGGCTAATGATGATGCCAACAAAATGATTGCCTCCCTTGGAGAACCAGTACTGTGGAGGAGAACGTCAAGCATGCTGGGAAACATAAGAGGCAACTTGGCAAAAATGTCATGTTATGTGAGGTCAGTCATTTAGTCCACAAGTTTTTTTTTGTAGGAAATTTTTGAATATGTCACCCATTTATTTTAGATCTGACCTACTGATAAATGTTTTTTTTTTTAGAAGGATTTATTCACTGCCCTATTGTTCCGTTATATGTCACATAGGGGTTGTGGTCTATTTCTTCATTCCGTTTTATCCTGTGCAATTACTTTGATTTCATGAATGGAACCCATCCAGCATCTTTGTCATCTTTCATCAATGTCCACTTTAAGGTTTCTCTTGGACGCTCTTATTCACATGCATTATCATCTTAATCATATGTAGTATGTAATTGTGTGTGTGTGATTGTTGGTGTGTGTATGTATGTGGATATATGTAGAACGTAGGAGTGTGTATACGTGTGAGTGTGTGCGATTGTGTACACATGATGTGTGTATGCGTTATTCTATAATTTATATTTCTTTATTATATCCATAACGAGCATTATTGATAGCAGGCTTTGGTACTCCGAAAAATGAGTGCTTAGAAGAGCCGAATGTCAGACAGGTCTGCGTGCCCAATCTGTAACCCTTTGAAAATAAAGTTTGTTTGTTCGTTCGTTCTTATTTCCTCAGTTTCCTATTTCATAACCTGTTTGGGAATTCTCTGTTGGTCTCCTCTCAGGAAGTGTCCAACATAGTGTCATCTTTGCTGTCTTCAAACTGGTGATACTAATGGTTGCCCAGACATTTCTCTTATTTCTTCCCCACTCTTGAATTCATCCCACTTTGTCTGGAAAGACAATCTGGTGGATATCCCTCAAAAGCTGTAGGGGAAAAAGAGACAGGAAGATCAAAAAAGAAAAGTTAGACAGTATGGCATCATGACATGAAAGAGTATTAGGTTTATCAGAAACTGTTGCATTAGGTTTATCAGAAAATGTTGTTGTATTAGGTTTATCAGAAACTGTTGTATTAGGTTTATCAGAAAATGTTGTTGTATTAGGTTTATCAGAAACTGTTGTTGTATTAGGTTTATCAGAAAATGTTGTTGTATTAGGTTTATCAGAAAATGTTGTTGTATTAGGTTTATCAGAAACTGTTGTTGTATTAGGTTTATCAGAAACTGTTGTATTAGGTTTATCAGAAAATGTTGTTGTATTAGGTTTATCAGAAACTGTTGTTGTATTAGGTTTATCAGAAACTGTTGCATTAGGTTTATCAGAAACTGTTGTTGTATTAGGTTTATCAGAAACTGTTGTTGTATTAGGTTTATCAGAAACTGTTGTTGTATTAGGTTTATCAGAAACTGTTGTATTATGTTTATCAAAAACCACTGCTGTATCAGTTTTATCAGAAACTGTTTCCTGTCATAGTTTTATTATAAATTGCTGCTGCTTAGTTTAATCAAAAAAAGTGAACTGCCATGCTTTTATCAGGAACTGTTATTATAATTGTTTTGTCAGAAGTAATTCTGTCAGAAACTGTTATTGTAATTGTTTTGTCAGAAGTAATTCTGTCAGAAGCTGTTACTGTAGCAGTTTTGTCAGAAGTAATTCTGTCAGAAACTGTTATTGTAATTGTTTTGTCAGAAGTAATTCTGTCAGAAACTGTTATTGCAATTGTTTTGTCAGAAGTAATTCTGTCAGAAGCTGTTACTGTAGCAGTTTTGTCAGAAGTAATTTTGTCACAAGCTGTAATTGTAGCCATTTTGTCAAATGTAGTTTTATCAGAAGCTGGTACAGTAGCAGTTTTGTCAGAAGCTGTTGATGAAGTGACCATTACCTGAAACTTCTGCTGTGTCTCGATGTCCCTCAAGGACGGGTCAGGGCTGAATGTTGGATGTGAGTGGTACCAACCCACCACAGACATTCCCACATCTTCTATCTGCTCACTGGCCAAAGTCTGTGATACTGAGGAAGTGTTCAGTCAACAAAATTTTTATAAATTCCGTTGACACTTTCCTGTCTTTCCAGACACTGGTGATAAACTGTAATATAGGATAGCATGGGAGGCAGTCCTTCTCACCATAGCACAAAGCCTGGGAAATATTGTTGAAACCGTGTTTTGTTCATACAGCATGATCCATCTCTCTGCCTGCCTTGTTCACTTCAAAGGAAAGGTAACACCAACATATCTGGAACAAAGCATGTTGCAGCAGCAGGGATCTGTCTATATGCCTGTTGCAGCTTCCCTCCTAGACCAGCTGCCAACCGTGGCTAAGGGCCTGACCTGTCCTGCCATAACATTAAGTTTTCAGGTTGTATTTGCTTATCCTAGGCTAAGGTTAGTATCCTGCACCCAAAGCCGGTGGCACAATGTGGGATGTCAAGTCTGGTAAATGCTACCAAACATACAATATTGAGGCTGCGTGGTCTCGAGATATGGCATCCGCCTTGAGTGCTGAAGGTCCCGGGTTCAAACCCGGGGGAAGGCTAGTAATTTTCCATGTGGACTTCTAGTAATTTCCACTATTGCTGCGCACGTAAAAAATCCCTTGGCAGTTGGAAATTAATAAAGAGTAGCCTAACGGCGCAGCCCGGACACAATTTGAATTAAAAATCTACCTAAAGTATTTCAGGATCCTCGCCGGTGCAACGGAGTTCGTGCACTGCGCTGAGATTCTTCAAACTCATGCTTGAGTTAGAAGTAGAATGAAGCCCTTATGGGTTACACCAGTGTGTGATTACTGTTATGCAGTAGTTCAGTCATAGCTCAGCAAGACGTGTCAGGCACTAGTGGAAATTAAACTCAATTTATATCATTTACAGACTTGTTCTCAACCTGCACAGTCCGTGGCGACAGCACTAGACATGCGGCCCTAAATCCTCAGTCTCAAAGACCTCCCCTGCCTATACTGCAAAGAAAGGGTAAATACAGCCAGCAATGGCGGCTTCTTTTAAATACAGACTCATTCTCAGATATGCACAAGATATTTAAAAAAAATAATACTGAAAGAGTTTATCTAAAACATGGGGTGCATATGACACTAATAATTGTTTCAGTATTTCCTCTATCTACACTACCCTTGGTGTAGATCTACTTAATGTTCATCTTTTAGTCTTTTTTCTCCTACCTTTCATACAGATGCATCTTATTTTAGATTTTGGTCTTTCTTCTTGGATCCTAGGTTGTCCCCATCTGGGTTCTGGAGCACTACTGTTTGGCACACTCTAACTCTCACTCGCCCCTTTTTTTGTTGTTGCAAACAAGCATGTCAAAACTCCCCCCCCCCCCCCCCGCGCAAACGCAGGAGTTCTTTCTAAAAAAAAAACCAAAAAAAAAACCCCCCCTCAATCATATACCAACAACCAAACTGACCAACAGAAGCACAAAAGTTAACCTGAAATAACCAACATACAAAAAGGCACACCCACCTGGGTCCATCTCACACTGCATCCCAGTGCTCATACTTTTACAGGGAACCGCCATGCTGATGGTCAGCTGTCCAGTCTCCGCACAAAACTGACCACCCAACATTCCAATCACCTCAGTCTTCGAAATGTGAGCATGAATGTCCATGGTTGCCAGGGCAGTGTTGAAAATGTCAATCTTATATGGGGCCTAAACAAGGAGGGTTGAAATTCAGTAAACAATATAAGAGGGAATGTAAAAAACAGGGCAGTGTGAAAATGGAATAAAAGGGGGCCTAAACAAAGGGTTGCAAATGAATTAAAAAAAAAAAAAAAAAAACGAAATGCAGCACAAAAAGAATGTAAAATTAAAACACAGTATGATGAAAAAGGGAAGGTTATAAATAGTGTAATGAAAAATGAGGTGGTTAAAATAGAGTATGAAGAAATTTAGAAAGGTTTAAATATACTACAATCAAAGAAGGGAAGACTGATATGACAGCACCAGAATCAGAACGACAGTCAAAATGAGTATGATAAAAGATAAAGTTGAAACTGTCACAGCTCTGGGTCCAAGAAGTTCCTGGATGCCTACAACAGAATATTTACAGTATGTGTATATTTTGTGCACACATACACACATTAGAGACCTCATGAGTGCTCCAGGGTTTGTTGTATTTAGTGCAATATAGTGTGGGACCTGTGTGAAAAGACTGGATGCATCCATGGACACAGCAACTGTGGACATGACTGGAGTCTAATGCTGGCAATCTACATTCAACATAACAGTGATGCTACCACAACTTGCTTTTAAATAAATCAAACTAGTCAAAACAAAACACAATTCTTTAAATCTGCATAAAAAACCCCTGTGTGGGTTCTGGGGGCCCCCCCATTTCAGGAGAAAAAGAATAGCCCCCTCTATCCTTTAACTCTTTCAGTACCAGGGAACCCACCATACATACTATATATCATATCCATTTCTCTACTTAACCTACCAGCTGTTATTAGAAAACCTTCTCTCCCAAAGCTGTATAATTAAGTTCTATGAGATGAAACAATTGTTGCTCTCAGATACAAACACTTTTAGGATAGACACTATTGAATTTAACACAATCCGGGACTGAAAAAGTTAACAAGCATGCCATAAAAGCTGACTTTTTAGGAGTATGTTTATGTTGGATGTATTAGGCCAATAGGCAGATATACCTCAGTCTAGATGTAAACTACAACCGCCCTAAAAAGGCCAACACAGAAGAATCAAAGCCTGCATTTAAAAAAAGTAATTACCAAAAATCCCTCGGAGAAAGGCTGGCAAGGCACAAGTTTGAAAGGGTCATAGGTCACCTTTGAAGCGCGTGCAACTCTAGCCCTTCGGTTGACATCTGACTTCTTTCTTTCGCTATTATGCTGTGGAGAAATGAAGAACATACAGCTTAGCGTAAAGTAAGGCAAGAACATGCATGACTTTTAGTGTCCCACTTAGATATATAAACCTTTAATCCTAACACCCACAGGGCAGGAGGTTACTTTGTAAATATAGGGCGCACAGATGTAACTGTTTCATATAGATGAACTCCCCATGTGGTTTCTGGGGCCCTATGGTGGGGGAAAACAAAAACAGACACACTGCATGCAGTATGAGTCGAGTTATTAAGGACTTCCGTCAAAGTCGGAATGCATCTGCCTGAGTGGCAAGCAACAAGTGAGCTAGTAAAATGGATGCACATGCAAAACAAAGGTCCTGGCAAAAAGCCAAAGTCCAAATTGACAAACAACCTGCACTTTCTATCACAGCATTCAGCCAGTGAACAAAGAAGAAGATATGGATGAACAGGGTGTCTGGGATCTGCCTCCTTGAAAAAGAATCCATAAAGTATCTCTTCTGGTCACTGTATGTATGTGTGTAAAAATTTCAGCCTTCACCCCGTGGACAAAAAAAAAGTGGGGGGGGGGGGGGGGGCGGTGTGTCTAGGATTCGCTCCTGCTGGATTTAGATATCAAAAGTGTCTTTTCAAGGCACTAGATGTAAAAATATCAAAATTGCAACCCTGTGTGGTAAAATAATAAATTCAACTCCCCCCCCCCCCCCAAAAAAAAAGGTTATGCAATTTGAATAAATAAATCACAAACAATCTATGTTTGTGTCTTCTTTATTCACACCCACAAAGGGGAAACACTGCTTAGATTATACAATCATAAACACCGAAAAAAATTTGGAGCGCTAATTAGTCAATAAAATAGCAGTATATACCCAATGTCTCCAGGCACGGAAATGGATGCTTTTAGAAAGAGGCTGTCAGGAAAACAGGCTGTCAGGAAACAGACACTTACTTTTTTCCCTCCAAATTTGTCTATTGATTCATTGTTCTATTGATTCATTGTTCTATTGATTCATTGTTCTATTGATTCATTGTTCTATTGATTCATTGTTCTGTTGTGCCGTTATATGTCAAACAGAGCCTGCAGTCTATTTCTCCATTCTGTTCCATGCTGTGCAATCGCTTCGATATCAAGGGTGGAATCTGGTCCAGCAACTCTGGCTTTCTCCCGAACGTTAGGGGTTTCTCATGTATGTCCCCAATCCCCTATTATTTTCCATCTCAGCGATTCTTTGGTACTTTTTGGTTGTCAATTTTCAGAATGTATCCAAAATAGTATCATTTTCCCTGTCTTATACATGCTGAAACTAGCAGTTGACTATAAATTTCCCTTACTTGTTCCCTTTTTCAAATTCTTCTATGCTGGACCAAAACAATAATTTGTGCTGCCTCTACAATGGAGGCTGGCTTCTTCAGTAGATATGTGCATCTAGCGCTGTGTTTGGGAATATTAGACGCTGAGATCACAATCTCTCCCAAGGTGCAACTTTCGTATCACAGCCCAAAAGCCCCAGGAGTGGTCTTTTAAACCAAAAAAAATGCCCATTGTGGAAATCAAATCTTGGCTAACGGCCTCCTGATATAAGTTTTCTGACAGAAGGATCGGAGAAGAAGAAGAAATCTTGGTACTTTGAGGATAGTGAAGCACACTTGCTAATTTTTAACCCACACAGCAGCACATTAGTGAAAGAAGAAAAATATTTGCCTGATGAGTATTTTTTATTTTTAAAATATCAGGAAAAATAAGATACAAGACTTGAATCACTCACTTCGACTGTCTTTCCCTCCAGCTCCTTCTCATCCACCCACAGACCTGTCTCATCCTTGATTCTGCGTTTCCTGGGCCGCTAAAAAAGAAGTTAAAATAATCTATATAACTTATCCATATGCTAGGAATAATATCTTCTCTCTATAGGTTCCAGCATCCGGAGGGGGGAGGGGGGGGGGGGGCGTTGAGTCAAAAAGCAGATATCACAGCCAAGCTGTAAACTACAATATAATGTGCTATCTGCCCTTTTAAGAAAAGTAAAAAAATTTTAAAAAAGAATAAGACGGAGGAGGATTATTATCATCTAGCGGCATCTCCACCAAGAAAATTGGCCTTAAACCATTGGATACCAAGTAACCCATGTGTGTTCGTTTCAATTGATATATTTTTCCGAATTCCTTTTGTCCCATTCAGCACTAACAGGATCTCACAATGTTCCTTCCAATCCTTTCTTTAACTCATTCTAATCATCAAATACAAAATTATCAGTTTAAAAATTAGTTTATTGCATCTAGTAAAATATTTCTTCTTCACCCTTAAAAGAGCAGATGAGTTGTGGTTTACAGAAAGGCTGTGATATACTTGCCTTTCAGCCCAACACATCTGATTTCAGCAAACCCTAGTCATCTTTTACGGCAGGCAATGGGTCCACACTTTTATGATCTAAAATGGGCCTTGAAACCTTATGCGGGAGGTCAAACTGTGGGTCGTCTTGGCAGGATATGACCAAATTATTTCAGAGGTCTTCTACAGCCACTGCGGTGAATGTTTCCCATCACTGGTTTAGATAATTAATTGGTATTTTATGGATAAAATCGTCCTGGGAGCTGGGTTGGCAATTCTTCTTCTTTATCAGCTGTATAAACTCCGGCAGAAAATTCTGGCTGTTTGTCCACTTCTGGACTTTGGTCCCAGAATCTGAAAATTGCATGCACATCTGTTTTACAGGTTTGGCTCATTTTTATGCAGACTATTTGTTCCCAGTCAGAATTATGTTAACTCTTTTGCAACACAAAAATGTCAACTCTTTCACCACAGAAAAATGTTAACTCTTTTTGACCACAAAATAATGTTAACTCTTTCAACAACAAAAGCCAAAAAAAAAAAAAAAAAAAAAAAAAAAAAAAAAAAAAAAAAAACGACACTTCTGGTTGAGTCCAATTCCCCATAAACGTCACTTTTCCAACTATCTATAGTTACTGGCAGAGATCAGCCTGCACCCACAGTTAGGAGGTCAGTTAAAAACAGTGAACAACAATGGCCACTGCACAAAAGAAGTCAAAAGAAAAAAGACTTGCTTTAGCAATGCAGAAACTAAACAGCAAGAAAAACCTATGGCACAACACCTGCGAGTAAGTTAAAGTAAACGTTTTGAGATCATGCATCCTTCCCATAGCAACTTATGCATGCGAGTCATGGACTCTTACCAAATCCCTAAAGAAAAAAAAATGTGAGCGTTTGAACTGAAATGCCACAGAAAATTTATAGAAAAGATAAAACACTGGACAGTCTACATGGTCTGAAGACAATTGGCTCATAAACAGCATCCTGACAAAAAAGCGGAGGTATTTTGGCCATGTTAAACATCACGTAGACCTATAGAAAGTGGTGATTATGGGTAAAGTTTCCAAAAAATGAGGCGGAGTCAGACCTTAGCGAATGCGGATTCAAGAAACTGAAGATACAATGGCTATGAAAGCACATAGGGCTGGAGAATTTACTGGAACAAAAGATACTTTCAGGGTTACATACAGGACCTGCTGATTGATGATGACGATGATGACGAAGGAACAGAAGTCATTAAATATTTCATGCCAAGCCATCTTATCTGCCAAGCTATCTTATCTTGTTATCCTGCAACTAATTCATTTTACTATTTATCTATGTTATGCATGTCTCTGTGGCTCAGCGGCCAGGCAGGAGATTTTGTCTCGCAATCTCGATACACCAGGGTTTTATTTATAAGATGGGCGATTTAGGAAAAGGTTGTTCTCGTGGACTTCAAACTGTGGTATGACAGTCGTATCGTAGAAGAGATGGCGGGTCTCACCATGTTATAGCCCAAAGTCAGCAGTGGACTGCAACCAACCTCGGCTGTGGAAAGCACAACAACACAATAAAAGTCTGCTGGTTCAGCTGTCTTCAGTCTTGACACGACTGACATGACATCACATACGAGCAGGGCTTCAAATGAAAACCTTAAACATGTGACAGAAAATGCAATAACCCTGCTGTTGTCTTATAACCTATCAACAGTATTTTTAACAATGCTAAGCATGTTAACCTTGTGACATCACCATGCAGGCAAACTTGGTGATGTCAAAATAACAGAAAGGCCACCGCCATTCTGACATGCACCAAAGAGTAGCAGTGTTCTGTTATCTGATCAGTGAAGGGGTGAAACCTATAGAAATTTATTGGTGCATGAAGCTTCAGTGTAGTGATGCATGCCTGTAGGTCCAGTAAGTGTGTGAGTGCAGAAGTTTCAAAACAGTGTGATTTCTGTAACAGACTGCTCATGACAGGATCTCTTCTGAAGCCACTTCATATGTGACGGCAGCCATGTGTTTTGTGTACCACACCTCGAAGATAAACTTACTGTTGATTCTGACTTTGACACAGGAAGTGATGATATCAGTTCTTTATTCATGCCTCGCACCCTGCTGTTGGTGCTGCCACTAACTGTTCTGTGCGGGTTTCTATAGGCTGCTTGTTCTGAAATTTATTGTTTAAATTATAATTTCAATTTACAGGAAGCTAAAACTTATGGAGCATGGAAACAGAAACAGTGACTTTCTATAAGATCCGAATACAGAAAAACTTTCTCTTCTTAGCAATCACCAGCTGTTCATCCACTTCTGCACTTCAGTATCGTTCCAGATCTTGAATTTTGCGAGCAAATCCATTTTACAGATTTGGCTTATTCTGTAAGCATAATGTTGGTTACCACTCAGGCAGAAGCACCCCGACTATGAAGGAAACTCCCGAAATAAGTCCACTTTTAAGACAAACTTGTTAAGGGGACAGTTGGTCTGTCTCTCTCTTCCCCCCCCCCCCCCCCCCCCCTCAAAATGGTGAACCCAAGAACTAATATGGAGAAAAAATTATGCATAAATAGCTTTATATCTCAGAAACAAAACACACTGCAGACACATAAATAGCTTCATATCTCAGAAACACAACACACAGCAGCCACATTAACTGAAACAGGGGTTTAGGAAGAACAATAATGGAAGGCATGGGGCCAGATATATGATAAACAGACAATGTATTGATGAGCACTCACAGAAAGAAGTAGAATAACAGAAAAGATCAAAGAAGGGGGCAGAGGTGCCGAATCACACCCGGTGGTGCGCCAGGACCACGGCTCATACTGGTCAAGACCCATCTACATGCTTTCCTGGTCATCCGAGAAACAGCTTCCCAACCAGAAACCTGGCCAGTGTACACTGGGTCGACATTTCCTTCAAAGTTAGACGTTTCTTCAAAGTAAGACATTTCCTTCAAAGTCAGACGTTTCCTTCAAAGTCAGACGTTTTCTTCAAAGTCAGACGTTTTCTTCAAAGTCAGACGTTTTCTTCAAAGTCAGACGTTTTCTTCAAAGTCAGACATTTCCTTTAAAGTCAGACATTTCCTTCAAAATCAAACTTTTTATTCAAAGTCAGACATTTCCTTCAAAGTCAGACATTTCCTTTAAAGTCAGATGTTTCCTTCAAAGTCAGACATTTCCTTCAAAATCAGACATTTCCTTCAAAGTCGGATGTTTCCTTCAAAGTCAGACATTTCCTTCAAAGTCAGACATTTCCTTCAAAGTCAGACGTTTCCTTCAAAGTCAGATGTTTCCTTCAAAGTCAGACATTTCCTTCAAAGTCAGACATTTCCTTCAAAATCAGACATTTCCTTCAAAGTCGGATGTTTCCTTCAAAGTCAGACATTTCCTTCAAAGTCAGACATTTCCTTCAAAGTCAGACGTTTCCTTCAAAGTCAGACTACATCTGCCTGCGAGGTGAGCAGCCGATGGTCTGCGCACAAATAAGACAGATCTGTAAAACAGATATGTATGAGAACTCAAGCCTGAAACAAGGGTAAAGTCCAGATGTGGACGAACAACCAGTACTTTCCATGCAGTTTCACAGCCGGTGAACATGAAGAAGATGTAATGATTATACACATTTTTGGGGTACATTTGGAAATTTTAAGGAAATGTGAAACAAAAAAATCACAAATAAACAAAATATGTAAACACACTCACACACAAACATATACATATAAACAAAATTTACAAATATGTGCTGATTAAATTAATTGTATTGTGGTACAAAATTCAGTGTTTTTAGACATATTATGAAAAGGAATGGACTCCAAAACTTTGTAATGACTGGCAAGACTGACTGAAAGAGAACAAGACAAAGGCAAAGAGAAAAACACCCGGATGGATTAGTCAAATGGATGGGGCAAGATAAGAACAATGACCTAATCTGTGATTCTGGTTACCGTGTGAGATGGTAAAACATGAGAAAAAACATCAGCACAGCATGTGATAATGATGACAAAACATGGCACTGTCCAAGCAGAAAGGCATGCCAGGGTCGGATACACGCAGCGCGCCACATGAAGTGTATTGTGAGCTGCCTCAACAACAGAGGCTGGACACAGTCCACCATCCACTGCTCTCTCAACCTCTTCCACGGTGCAACTCTTGCAATACTGTTCCAAAACAGAGACAATTTTTTTTTTCTTCCTTATTTTAATTAATAATCTGCCAGGAAAATCATCTTCTTCTGCATTCACCCTTAAAAGAGCAGCTGGCATGCTGTGTGTGGTTTACAGCAAGGATACGATATCTGCATGTTTAGGGGGGTGGGGGGGGGACAGTGCGTCTATTCTTTTTTTGTTGTTGCCCCAGACAATCTGAACCCTAGTACTAGAGAATCAAGAAATTGTTAAATGCATCCAATAACCTCCAGCCATAAAGCCACATGGGACATGAACAAAAGGCAAGAACACAAATTTATTAAATCACCAACCACAGCCAAAGTTGATGGCTCCCACACACTCCAGGTAAGAATGAATTCGGCCAATACAGTTGACATCACCACAGTTCTTGAGTCCTGGCCGGATGCAAGTCTTGTTCAGGTAGACTGGCTTGCTCTTCAACCTGCCAGCAGAAATGTTCATTGAACAATAATATGAAGCCATGTAGATAAGGCCACTGGCCAAAATTCTGAAGCTTTGCAGATGAGATACAGAACTGTTCGTTAACCAATATAGCTAAAGCTACGTAGATAAGCTACAGAACTGTTCACTGGCCACTATATCTAAAGTCATGTAGATAAGCTACAGAAATGTTCACTGGCCACTATATCTAAAGCCATGTAGATAGGCAATAGAAATGTTCATTGGCCAATATATCTTAAGCCATGTAGATAAGCTAGAGTTATTCATTGGCCAATATATCTAAAGCTATGTAGATAAGCTACAGAATTATTCATTGGCCAATATATCTAAAGCCATGTAGATAAGCTACAGAGTTATTCATTGGTCAATATATCTAAAGCCATGTAGATAAGCTACAGAGTTATTCATTGGTCAATATATCTAAAGCCATGTAGATAAGCTACAGAGTTATTCATTGGTCAATATATCTAAAGCCATGTAGATAAGCTAAAAATCCAATTTTCATTGGCTACATACAGATGTATGTATGTACATACGCAAGTAAGTATGTGAGTGTGTATGCATGTATATACATATGTCTATGTATTTATGTGTATGTATGCCTGGGTGTACAAATGTCTATCTGTCTATGAGTACCATTAAGTCTGTGCGTATGTGTGAGTGTATATTAGATTATGGTTGAGAAAATGAGTATATTAGTATATGCCTGGCGAAATGCCTGTGTGTACGTTTGTGTTAAGGTATTCATATGTGTGAGCATTTTGTATGTACATATGTGTGCATAGCCACCATGGTGCAGTAGCTAGAGACTCACCTGCAGATCTAAAGGTCATGGATTCAAATGTGCACGGAGCAAGATTTTTTTTTCTTCAAACATGATTTTTGCACCCAGATCAACCCAGCCTTAAATAGGTACCATGTAAAGTACTGGGAAGTAAAAGCGGCTGGCGTCATGTTGACCACATCACCCACCCACTGAGTGCCGATTGATTTGATCAAAATAGGAGTCTAGTCTTATATATGTGATGCCTCACTTGTGTGTAAAGGGACCTTTACTTACTGTGTGTGCATGGGAGCATGTACGTGTGTATGTATAAGTGTATGTAATATTTTTTGGGTATGCATGTATGCACATACGTTAGTTGTGTATCCTTTAAAGGACATTGCAGAACCAACCCCAGCATTTTTTGGCTGTTGTGTTTTTTTTTTTAAGGCAAGTTCACGTCCAAGAGTTTGCCACTGCTTTTTGGACGTTCGGCTTCTCGATACCACTGTCAAAACCAACTCAAGGTGCAAGGACCGCAGCTGGGATCGAACCCGGCACCCCGGCATTACGAAGCATGTTCTCAACACCTAAGCCACAGATGCCGACGTATGTACATACACATGTACATATATGTGTGTGATTGGATGAATGTATGGATGAATAAGCCATTCGATGAATGTACGTAGGTATGCATAATTGAAAGCAAGCATTTGACGTCCAGCTTTTGTTTTTTACTTCATATTTACATACCCCTATGAACTAAACCTGCTTTACAGATCAAATACAATCCCTGTGTGAAAGATGAGTGTTCAGAAGGGTCAAATGTAAGACTGGCCGTCACACCCAATTGGTGACCCTTTAAAAAAAAGTTTTTTTGTTCATTTCTCAGAATATCCACAAGCATTTGGAGACTGGTAGTTCATTTTTTGTGCAATGAGGATGATCCAAAGACTTACTATCTTGATGCCATCTATCCATTTCTATGTTTGACACCAACTTAAGTCAACCTGTTCTCAATTTCCCCCTTCATTATAGGTTTCAAAAAACTCAGGTCATCTGATGTAACCAAAGTGAAAAAACATTCTTTGTTGTCTTCATGATGAAGGCTGGCTGCAGTACACTCACTGTTGCTGTTTGGAATATTACAGGTTTTAATGGTTTCAACAACAACAAAAATGCCTACCGTGGAAAGTGAACCTCAGTACTTGAGAATCATAAAATTGTTAAGCACATTCACTACTTTTAGGTTACAGCAACCACTAGGGGCTGCATTAGCGCAGTCGATAAGCGCAGCCACGGTCGGTTTTCGAAACCGGACGGTTCCCGGGGTTCACCCAGCCTCTAGGAAATGGGTACCAGAGTTTACACTCTGGGGTAAATGGAGGAACGTTGCTGTAGCCACAGTTACCTGCGAACGGTGACACATGCGGACAATTCTTATCAGCTGTCCGTACTGGTGGCAGAGCACTTACGGTTTATAACCGTGTGCAATGACACGGTTCACATCTCCCGACTTTACCTTTTTAACAACAGTAAACTGTTATGCCCTTTAATGTAACACAAGTAGAAAAAAAAAGGAAAAGTAAATAAAAACAAAACAGGAAAAACTAAAAACATGAAGAAAGTTCAAGAGAAAACACAGGCTCAAAAACCTACCAACAATCTATTATATAGCTTCTGATCTTGAGGTAGCGCTCTGGAGTCTTTGGAGGTCTGCCATCGAAGAAATCCGCATGCACCCTCTTTTCCTCCTCTGTGATCATCATGGGATGAAACAGCTTCTCCTCTACTGGAATGTCAAATTCTATCACCTCTCCTGATGCAGCTACTACTCCATTGACTGTTGACATCAACAGAGCATGCTGAGTTTGTCAACTTGTTCTTAAAAGACGTTGCAAATTATTACATAATTACCAGTGCGGTTCCTGAGCCCCATTTAGAGGGGAAAAGAAGGGACCCACAGCCCCCTAGCAAACATTTTGAAAATGGCGACTGATTAGCAATGTCTTCCACAAAGTTGAAGTAATCTGCCTGAGATTGAGAACCAACAGTCTGCACACATATAGACAGATCTTTAAAATTGATGTGCATACACAGCTCAAGTTCTGGAACAAGACTAAAGTCCAGAAGTGGATGAACAACCAGAACTTTTCACTGGAGTTAACAGCCTGCGAACGCTAAGGAGTTTACAGGCATGCTTGCTAAGGAGCTTCTTCTTCGCATTCCCTGGCTGTAAACTCTGGCGAAAAGTTCTGGCTGTTTGTCCACCTTGGGACTTGAGTATTATTCTAGAACCTGAGTGTTGTGTGCACATCCATTTAAGACATCTGACTTATCTCTATGCAGATTGTTGGTTCCTTGCCTCTCAGGCAGATGCACCCTTTATTTCTGAAGGCAGTTCCTAATTAGTCGACTCTTACAACATGCTTTTGGGTAGGCAGTGAGTCTATTCTTGTTTCCTCACAACAGGGCCAGGGACCCACACGTGAAGCTATCGAGTAATAGGTCTGCAAATTTTTCACCTTAAAAATGAGACACCGGAACATATGGGCAACATGATACTAGCAAGTCTAATAACTAGCTTGAAAACAATGGGTGGATAAACTATGGCCCTCCGGCTTAGCAAATTTTTTTACTGGCAAGCAAGGCTGGTGTAAAATTACTATATAATCTGGCCCTTGAGCTCAAAATATAGCAGAATACAAAAACGTAGGAAAAGATTTGTCTAAATATTAACATTAAAAAACTGATAACATAAATAGTGGTAAGCAGGTAATGACGATGCCAAATCTTTGATCCTGTTAGTGAAACACGATACACATTAAGGAATATAAAGAAGAGTTTCAGTGGGTGGCCACTGACATAGCAGTGGATGATAATCTTAGATAATCTCACAAAAATATCATGTTATGAGGAATCTGGGTGTTATGTTTATAATGGATTTTCCCAGTGATCAGGGCAGTATTTCTAAGTTTGGCCCAAAGATTAAAAAAAGGCTGCAAACCCCTGTTCTAATCGCCACATCCTACAGATATATTTCAATCACTGGAATTGAATTTGGCAGAATGCTAAAAAAATATCTGGACAGCCAAATTATACTTTCTGACTGGTATCTTCTTTCTTTTTGTGTTCATCAGCTGTAAACTCGGGGGAAGGTTCTGGTTGTTCATCTACTTCTGCGCATACATTTTACAGATATTACATATATGTATGCAGACTATTGGTCCCTTGCCTCTCAGGCAGAAGAACTCCGACTTCGAAGGATGCCCCCAATTAGTCGACTGTTCCGAACATGCTTGCATAGGCAGTGGGCCTAGTCTTGTTTTCTCCACAACAGGGCTCCGGAACCCATACAGGGATCTGACCGGTTTGAAGAATTAGGACGCAAAGACAACTTGTAACATAGAGCCACTATTTTTTTGGGCCCCACTGAGGAAAGAAAAGAGCTGAAACATTATAACAGCTGGAATGAATAAGAGAATAGCACATGGAGGCTGACAGCAAAAGAAGATTCTTTGACTTTTTTAAATGAAACAGAATGGTTTTAACAGATGCAATCTGCAGGAGATAGCAAAATATCCGCATGTGTGGGGCAGGGGCATCACTGGCCAGTGCTAACTGGCAAGGCACTTGATAATGATCCTATCTCAGATATCAGAAAGTTCTAATCCATATATCCACAACTGTGAGGTGGCTGTTAGTGATTACCCCAAAAATATCCTCTATATTGTCAATGTTTCACTCTGATATTCTTTTACTTCTTCTCCTATATATCCCTCAGTGGAGCGTAGGCTTTCAACCAACTCAAGTCAAGTCGCCACATACTTTGCTATTGCATTCAGCTCATATCATGTCCTCCCTATCTTTTTAACTTTATTCTTTAGCTCCTGTCTCCGTGTGTTTTTTTGGTCATACCATCTATTTTCCTCTGTCATGTACAGGCACCAGTTAATAAATGTTTGTAGTTTATTAGTAACTGTTTTAGTTGTTCTTCAAGTTTCTGCTCCAAACAGCAGTTAGCTGCGTATCCTTTACAGGACATTTCAGAACCAACCCCAGCATTTTTTGGGCTGTTTTTCTAGGCAAGTTTACGTCCAGTGATTTGCCATTGCTTTCTGGACGCAAGGTGCAAGGGCCGCAGCTGGGATCAAACTCGGCACCCCAGCATTACAAAGCTCGTTCACACCGCATAAGCCACAGACGCTGACATACAGCAGTGCTTATTTGAAATTATCATTTTTTATTTAATTACAAGACACATACTTACCTATAGATTCTGTCTTCACCTGATCTTCTTCATCCTCCTGTTTTTCCTTACTGAAGTCTTCCAAAGAGTGCTCACTTTTTACAACGCCGTCCTCTGGTGAGTCAATCTTATCTGAACTATGACTAGACTCATCAGGACTGCAGGCGGGCTCCTCAACATCTGAGCCTTCCACGCTGGCAGGCCCAGGTGTTCCTAACTTCATATGACCCTTTGAAAGCTGCTCCTGCTCTATGTCCGCAGATTTCAGCAACTGTTGGTAAACAGAACTCGGAGATGCTGATCGACTCAGCAACACAGCGTTTTCACTGTCATCATCTTCAATGTCTATATCTACCTCAACATCCTCATCCTCGCCACTGGAGGTCTTCGGTTCTGTGGATGAGCTGGAGCTGCTGCCAACACTAGAACCGTTCACTGCTGACCCACAATCAGATATACAGCTCCAATTGTCTGGACGGATTCCTTTGTGTCGAAACTTACTGGCTGCAAATGTGATCAGTTCTGTCTCCTGATTACCTCCTCCCATTTCTGAAACATCTGCATAAGCAACAACGCCATTATGAGTTGAAGAATGCAGCTTCTTTTGAACCTTTATGTGTTTTCTACTTCCAGCTGTCTGTTTATGCGGCTTTACTTCTGCTGTTTGGCTTGTACCTGCCACAGAGGACAGATTCTTTTTGAGTGGTGTGACAGGCCGTTTAGCCTTTAAGGTACTTGAGCGAACATCTGACACGGTATTAGTTGTGTTAAGTGAGCAATCACTGATGTTGTTACTGATTTCACTAACTGAAGATGTTGCTACACTGATGGTTGGTTGGCCGGTGGTAACGCTAGCGACAGTTGCAGCTAGAGAAAGTGGTGTTGTGGTGAACAGTGGAGTCTCTGTCATTGACTTCAATGCCTCTAACTGGCTTTTCTCAATTTCAGTTTTCTTTTTAACCTGAAAAAGAAAACAAATTCAGTCAACCAGAATTAGACATTTTTTTAAACATCTCTTGAAAATTGAGAGGGTGGGGGGGGGGGGGGGGGGGGGGGTCAAAGAAGAGGAGGGCAAAGTTCAACCTACAATGACATCAAGAAATGGACGGAATTCAGTTATCATACACGTATTTAACAAGCAGAAGACAGATAAAGATGGTCGGCCTTGTGAGCTATTGTTTCCATCGATACATCTCCACGACCCTAACAGGTCAAGGGTTATGTTATGTTATGTATGACATACGCACATACACACACACACATATATATATACACACAAACATACAGAGGTAATTCGTTAACATTAACTCACTTCAGACAAACACTTGCTAACACCAACAGAATTTTAGTCCCAGCAGAAACATATTTTTCATAATTCATCTTTTAGTCCAACGTTAGTTTTTATATATAAGTTAGTTGCATATCCTTTACAGGACGTTGCAGAACCAACCCCAGCAGCCCCTGGCTGTTGTGTGGTTTCCTAGGCAAATTTATGTCCAGTAGTTTGCCATTGCTTTCTGGGTGGTCGGCGCCCTGATTTCACTGTCGAAACCAACGCAAGGCTCATGGCCCACAGCAGGAATCAAACCCGGCATTACGAAGCAATCGCATAGACTTAGCCACAGAGCCGACAGTTTATATATGTGTGTGTGTGTGTGTGTGTGTGTGTGTGCGTGCGTGTGTGTCTGTGGTGTACCATTCCTACCACCTCCCCTCCCCCCAATAATGCTGAGCTACTGGAATTAACATAATTTTGACATTATAAATCTTTGTAATTTACTGAGCCAATCTTGTTCAACTTGCATGCAGGAATACCTTTGGGTTCAACAAATAAAGTGACAGTTCTTTTGCATCTGGGTCACTGATAGTTTTTAGATTTTCCCATCAACTAACATAAACGCACCATTTGATAACTAGGAGTGTATTTTTTTTATAACAGTATACATACAAACACACGTATACACACATATATAAAGAAGACAAAGTAATCAATAAGTTAAGACTCATGGCCTTGTTACAGCTTACAATAAGAAGCATAAATGAGAGCGATAGAGGGCACAACACTGGGGAGGGGAGGGAAAAAGGGGAGGGGGGTGTTAAAGACCAAGGACAACATGTGTAAAACAAACATGTACAGTTAGTCAGTTGTTGTTGGAACATAACAACACATCACCCCATAACTGTTCAGTTCACAAGCCCGTAAAAAACCACACAAAATAACTGATCCCTGCCACACATACAAAATAAAAAAAAAAAAAAAAAAACATCTTACACACATTGGACTTCAGTCAAAATGGACGCTAGGCAGGGGCACTGTTTGGAGCTGAGGCAAATTTTTGCTCCATTTGTAGACTGTATATAGTTTTGTTGACCAGCTTCTGAGATGAATGCATGGCATGACACTGTGAGCTACGGATTTCCTTTGGAATGTTTTTTTTACTGTGACCAACGTGGTGGTGTGAATTGTAGATTCAGAAAATGGTGCGATGCTGTCATTGCAATGTTGGTGGTGCCGGTATGTGATTAAAATTTGATCAAGTGGGCAACCTCTGATTGTTGGTGACTTCTGCTACTATCAATAATGAACTGCATTTCTGATGTCGGACTGTTTGTGTTAGCACTTCAGATGGCTACCGTATGCTATAATGTGTGCGTATGCTAGATATGCTGAGACAGCAGTCTGTCAATCTTTCTACAAGGGACTCAGAACTGTGATAAACGTTCTGCTGTGTGTTTTTCATTGGCACAGGAGCGGAGCAATGATGGGGTGACCCGTTTGCTATGAAGCTGAAACTAAGACTACCAGATAACTCTTTTGGCACCAGGTTTCATAGGAAAAGGCAAAGTGAAGGAATAACCATGATGAAAATCATGAGTTTATTACTTCCAAAGAGGCAATATAAACAGGACTGGTGGCTTTGTGGAAGCGAGGTTTCTATAGAATGTTCTCACCAAATGTTAAAATTAAAATAACATATTATGCTATATAAAGCATTTCATTACTTTGATTCTCTTATTGTGAAATCTATAGTCTTCCTCTTTTTAATCATATTTTCTTATGTTGAAAAAGGAGAGTGGGCGAAGGGTGTCCTGCCATATACTAAAGGGAGTTGTGGGGGGTCTTAACATACACTCAAGGGGGGTGTGGGGGGGGGGGGGGGGGGGGGGAGGGGCTTAACATATACCCAAGGGGGCCATGAAGGTCTTAACATATACCCAATGGGAGCCATGAAGGTCTTAACATATACCCAAGGGGGCCATGAAGGGCTTAACATATACCCAATGGGGGCCATGAAGGGCTTAACATATACCTAAGGGGGCCATGAAGGGCTTAACATATACCCAATGGGGGCCATGAAGGTCTTAACATATACCCAAGGGGGCCATGAAGGTCTTAACATATACCCAATGGGAGCCATGAAGGTCTTAACATATACCCAAGGGGGCCATGAAAGGCTTAACATATACCCAATGGGGGCCATGAAGGGCTTAACATATACCTAAGGGGGCCATGAAGGGCTTAACATATACCCAATGGGGGCCATGAAGGTCTTAACATATACCCAAAGGGGGCCATGAAGGTCTTAACATATACCCAAGGGGGCCATGAAGGTCTTAACATATACCCAAGGGGGCCATGAAGGGCTTAACAAATACCTAAGGGGGCCATGAAGGGCTTAACATATACCCAATGGGGGCCATGAAGGTCTTAACATATACCCAAAGGGGGCCATGAAGGTCTTAACATATACCCAAGGGGGCCATGAAGGTCTTAACATATACCCAAGGGGGCCATGAAGGTCTTAACATATACCCAAGGGGGCCATGAAGGTCTTAACATATACCCAAGGGGGCCATGAAGGTCTTAACATATACCCAAGGGGGCCATGAAGGTCTTAACATATACCCAAGGGGGCCATGAAGGTCTTAACATATACCCAAGGGGGCCATGAAGAACATATACCCAAGGGGGCCATGAAGGTCTTAACATATATACTCAAGGGGGCCATGAAGGTCTTAACATATACCCAATGGGGGCCATGAAGGTCTTAACATATACCCAAAGGGGGCCATGAAGGTCTTAACATATACCCAAGGGGGCCATGAAGGGCTTAACATATACCCACTGGGAGCCATGAAGGGCTTAACATATACCCAAAGGAGGGCCATGAAGGTCTTAACATATACCCAAAGGGGCCATGAAGGTCTTAACATATACCCAAGGGGGCCATGAAGGTCTTAACATATACCCAAGGGGGCCATGAAGGTCTTAACATATACCCAAGGGGGCCATGAAAGTCTTAACATATACCCAAGGGGGCCATGAAGGTCTTAACATATACCCAATGGGAGCCATGAAGGTCTTAACATATACCCAAGGGGGCCATGAAGGTCTTAACATATACCCAAGGGGGCCATGAAGGTCTTAACATATACCCAAGGGGGCCATGAAGGTCTTAACATATACCGAAGGAGGCCATGAAAGTCTTAACATATACCCAAGGGGGCCATGAAGGTCTTAACATATACCCAAGGGGGCCATGAAGGTCTTAACATATACCCCAGGGGGCCATGAAGGTCTTAACATATACCCAAGGGGGTGCAACCTCACAACAACAACAAATGTTGGAGACTGGTGATATTGAGTGATATCAATGGGTAGAGTCATTTACAGGCATACACCAGAGATGCCAACACCAACATTCTGCCATTTGACAGGCACAGTTCTATTAATGCACCATGCATGAAATTACAGAGAGTGGCTCAAGACAGATTTTGAAATGAAACATTCAGGAGTCTTCACGAGCCACTTAAGACTTGAACAGTTGATGTTGATGATGACATAGAACAAACACTTACTAAATTCTTCATGTACTGTTGAGCATAGTTCTTCACTTGCAGACTTGTTCTTGTAGGTATCAGGTTGGCAATTTTGCTCCAACTCCGTCCATAAATACCCTGTAATATAGTTTCAAACTGCACCAGAAATGCTCTGTTTCAGGTTATAAACTGTACCATTAATACTTTACAAAATAAAGTTCTATATTGCTCAATCAAGTCACTGAATCAAAGTTATAAGCTGTACCATAAATGCCATGCTGTGTAGGTGAACTGGACCAAAAAATGCAGTTATCAAATGCCCAAAATGGCCTATCAATGACCCATAATGAAATATGTTGAATGGGAGTAAACCATGATGCAGACCAAAAAAAAGCGGAATAGTGTTCATTTGCAGACATTCCAGTTTGTGACTCCAAGTGTGTGGAAGTCTGTCTGCAAATAAACTCTATTCCGCTTTTTTGGTCTGCGTCATGGTTTACTTGCATTCAACTCTTTTGTGTACATTCTCTCGATATGCCCCAACCACTGCAGTCTATTAGCCCTCTTTGTGCCAGTAATTAGTGATGATTTAAACTGACCATGAATTTTGTTGTTGCTTCTCACTCTCTATTCTCTGCTGTTTGCATCTTTGATGAGTCCAAAGATTTGCTGCAAAGACTGTTTTCTCTCTCTCTCTCTCTCACACACACACACACACAGAGATATAAAGTAGCTTCAAAAAGTTCCTGGAATTTGTGTACTGTGTAGAAATAAGTAACAATGCAATTTAAATAATATGGACGCAATACACTGCACAATTTATTGCCAGGCACATTTCGCTGTATCTCGTCAGATGCGTTACTTCAGAGTTACATCAACATAAAATAAAGCACAAAAACGGAATAAATCCAACTGAACAATGAAATTATTGACACTACAGTGCCTTCAAAATAGTTCCCTTCTGCAATTACATATTTTTCATACAGCTGTTGGAAACATTTCTGGAACCCATTCTCTAACACACCTTTCAGTTGCTTTGTTGCACTGATGGTAATTTCCTTTGTGTTCTTGATTCGCTGTCTTTTCAGTGGCAAAATTAGGCGAGGGAACAAGAAAAACCTCAGCCGGTGCCAGGTCAGAATACGGTGGCAGATGTACAAGGGCAGTAATCTTATGCGTTGTAAGGTACTGCTTCACCAGAAGGGATTGATATGATGGCGCACTGTCATGCAACTGTTCTTCATTTTTCAGGGTGTTTCCTTCTGACTGCACCTCTTGCACACATACATACACACACACATATTTTCTTCTTCTTCATTCCCATCAGCTGTAAACTCCAGCGGAAAGTTCTGGTTGTTTGTCCACCTCTCGTCTTTAGTCTTATTCCAGAACCTCAGTGTTGTATGCACATCCACTTTACAGATCTGACTTTGTGTATGCAGACTTTTGGTTCCTTGCCTCTCATGCTGATGCACTCTGACTTAGAAGGAAGCGCCCAATTAGTCAACTCTTACAACATGCTTGCTGGGGAGGCAGTTAGTCTATTTTTGTTTTCCCCACAAAGAGGCCCCGGAACCCATATGGGGACACATAAATAAAAAAAATAATTATGTAATTAGAGACAACAGATACATACCAAACCATTCAAGAATGTACTTTTCTCCTCTGGTGTCCAAGGACATTTATTAGGACTGGCACCCTTGCTACTGCCAGAAGCAGCGAGAAGCGCACTCTTCTTCATGTTTAAGTACCTGGAGCTCTTCCTCCCATACATGTATTGTCTACTGCTTAAGGAAAACTGCAACACTCATGTGGCAATTGCGAATACACACTGAAGGATTTTTTTCAGCACCTTTAGGTATATTGAGATAAGATTCAAGCCCCATTTTTGACACCAAATTGGCTGATGTGATCAATATCCTGCCCACCGCCTTTTTTCCCCCAGCATTTCCTGGTACCCGTTTTCTGTTCAGCTGATCAGGGAATCCCGAAGCAGTTAAAAATCAGCTCTGAAATGTTTTATATATCAAATTGGCTGATGTGATCAATATCCTGCCGACCGCTTTTACTTCCCACAGAATCTCCTCTGTTGCTCTTTAATTAACAGTCTGAGTGGTTTAAGTTCTACTATTGTTCTAAATACAAGACAGTAGAACTCATAACTTTTTCTCATGGCAACTATATCGACATCATCAACATTCTCTAAACCATTAGACGTCACACAAGGCTCGCATTCGATTCCTCTACCCCCTTCTATTGCATGCAACTTTCTCGATTTCTGCCAGGACATGTGGGGGTACAAGGAAATGAGCAAGCTGATAGGCTTGCAGGTAAGGCTACGTGAAAGCCAGACAAGCCATGGACCAGGCTGATATACTGTGAATTCTCTAAGAGAGTTAAGACGTTTGCGTGAACCACCTGAGAACTGTGAATCTCCAACCATGGTCAGGCTGCAAGAACAACATGTTAAACAGGGTGCCGCCAAACAAGATCACTACGCAGGTAGCCAAAGAAGAAGAATAAACCAACGCAGAACTGGTATCGTTAGCCGCTATACGCTGCGGGATTTAGTGAGGAGGGAATCCGAGCACTAATGGACTGAGTGGTTCGATGTGCAATGAGGATAATCTGTCGACTAACTGACTAACTTCTCGATTTTTGACATGGAGTTCAGCCCAGCAATTCAGCAATTGTTGCCTCTCATAATGTTCTTCTTATTGTTTTACTTTGACATCTTTTTTTTCTCTCTCCAACCATTTGTTTCCCCTTCCAGTGCCTGTTTTGTAATTCTTTGCTTACTTCGTCTCAGAGTGGGCCCAATATATCTCCACCTTTTTCGTCTGTTTGCAGTCGATACAGGTTTTTGTCCATACATTTCTCTGATCTCCTTACTCTTTCTGAGTTTATACCATTTTATGTTCATGATTTTTCTCAGACAATATTTAACTTTCATTAGTTATCTTTAGTGGTTCTCCAGGTTTAGCTGGCATATGTTAGAAATGAAATATATTCACAAACACATATTAAAAGGATACTGCTCCTCCAGCAGCATCTTCTCTATGGTAGCCTTCGACTTCTCATCCATACAACTGTCCAGTGTCCAGCCCTGCAGAAATTAAACATCAGATTCAAAAGGAGCTTCTTCTGATATATTCTGGCCACATTAGAAGACATAATAATGATTTAAAAAGCATACTGGAAGGGACAGTTGAAGATAAGACAGCAAGAGGTAGACAATGATATAAGTGGAAGGACAACATTAAGAGAATGAATGAACAGAATCTCAGAGAGTGTATTATCAAAACAAGAGACAGATTGTGCCGGAGATCACTTGCAGCCAATCTTGACTGTGGAGATGGCACCTGACTGATGAATACTGGGAATATTCTGAAATGAAGAGGACAAAGAATTACAAAATAGGCACTGAAACTGGAAGCAAATGGAGTCACCCAAGATAAACCTCATCACAAACTTTGATAAGAGAAAGGCTAGAGATTTTGGTCTGGATTTTCATCTTCTTCTTCTTTAGTCTGATTGTTTATGCTGTAAAGTGTCATAGAGAGGAGTTAGGTGTAGTTTCCTGTCTTTTGCTAGCTGTGTAACTTGTGCTAACGTCATACTGCGTTTTTGAATTGTCTCTTCTACTCTCTCCAATCATTTCTTTCTGGTCAGCCTCTTGACGTGTAACCTGCTGTTTTTATGTAGTTTATTTTGTTCAAATCTGACCAAAACATTTGACTCTCTGATGTTCTATGAAAACATTCACAAGTATTGTTCCTACCACTGTTTTTAGTTCTTTGTTGGTGACTTGTTTTTCTCTCTGCATTTCTTATAAATCTGATCTCACATGTAAATTTGCATTTATTTTGCAGACCGGATTCTTAAAACCAAAAAAAAGTAAAGGACCCTTTCGGCGTATAGGGCATATAGGGCTAGACTTATATTTTTATAGACCAATCGGCACAGGATGGGTAATGTGGTCAGCATCACGCCGGCCACCTTTACTCCCTGGGACTGCACCCGGTACCCACTTAAGGCTGGGTCGACCTGGGAGCCAAAGTCATTTTTGAAAAAAGTCCGGCTCCGCCAGGGAAAAAAACCCTCTACCTTCTGATCCACGGCGAAAGACCTTGCCTCACAGGTCGACCCAGCCTTGTGTGGGTATCAGGTGCAGTCCTGGGAGGTAAAGGCGGCTGACCTAATGCTTACCACATCATCCACCAAGTACCGACTAGCCTAGCCTTATATGTCAAGCACGCCTAAAGGCATGGAAAATGGTCCTTTACTTTATACACACATAAGAATGGAGGGATTGACTGTGAGTCTATGTAGCACATAAACTGCATAACAGGATGATGATGATGATAGCTATAAAGGTTGTCCCATAAGTTTCCATACAGAGAATAAACCAACATATCATTAACGTCAATTACAAGCACAACTCCAGCTGTACTTACCTGTCTGATGTTGAAGTTTGAACAACAGATCAACATCATGGCACACAGATAGTAACCTATTCGTGATCAGTTCTTCTTCTAACTTAAATCTGAGTCCGAAGAAGCTCAGCACAGTGCACAGGCTCTGTAGCGCCGGTGAGGATCCTGAAATACTTTGGGTAGATTTTTAACTCTAAATTTTGCCCGGGCAGCGCCGTTAGGCTACTCTTTTCGATTTCCAACTGCAAAGATTTTTTTTCACATGTGCCTCAATGCACAAGGGCGCCTGATCTCACTACTCAGAGACCAGGAGGAATTACTAGAAGTCCAAGTCCATGTGAAAAAATCCCAGCCCTTCCCAGAGATTGAGCCCGGAACCTCTAGCACTCGAGGCGGACACCATGTCTCGAGACCATGCAGCCCCCTTGTAGTTACTTGTGTTCTTCAACATTGCAGGACACATAGCACAATGTGTTTTCCTATGTAATGGAAACTGGTGGGACACCTTGTACAATGAGCATCCAATCACCGTCTTCCGTGTGATCACATGGTATTTTATACCATCATTAAACACACTTTCCATAAACAGTTCTGACATTTACCTGCTCAAGCATCCATGCTGGACTAGTAAATTCAGGAAGCAGGTTGGCACTTTTGGATGGCAGTTCATTTGTGTCATAAAATTCATCACCCAATCTAATATATGATAGAAAATGATGCATGTAGCTTTCCACAGACAACAGGTCAATGACAACAATAAAATCAACAAACTGCGGCACGAAATAACAACAAACAGCTGATCTTTCCCCACATATTAATTTGACCTAGGAGAGTGGTAAAGGACCCTTTTACCCGACTCTTCAGGCGCAATGGGTATATAGGGTTTGACCTATATTTTATAGATAAACGGCACAAAATGGGTGATGTGATCAGCATCATGCCGGCCGCCTTTACTTCCCAGAACTACACCTGGTACCCACTCAAGACTGGGTCAACCTGGGAGCCAAGGTCATTTTTAAAAAAAGTACGGCTCCTCCAGGGAGCGAACCCACCAACTTCCAACCTGCAGCGAGTGTCTAGTCGCTACGCTACGGTGACTTCCCTAGTAGAGTGGTACCTTGGACAATGAATGTTGAATTAAGAATCGATTAAGAGCACTCGGAACACTTCCATAAGTACTAGGTCCCCATCTTCAGCAGCAAGCGGAGAGTTCCGATTTCGACGGCAGCAGGAACTGTCTTTATATATATCTCACCTTTCCCTTGAGCTTGGAAAATTATTGCTTCAAAATTCAAACTTGACACACAAGACATTCAAAAGTGATCTCCATTGCTGCCAATCTGCTGCTTTTCTGCCAATAACTACCCTTTAGTCTCTTTTAACTTGTTCAGTACCAGACGACTGGACAAAAGATGCTTTAGGACAGAATGGAAATGTAATTATAACACCCTAGTTTCATTAAGTGCAATAACTTCAAAGCCACTAAATATATAGCAGAAGTGGCCACGAGTTTTGGTATGCTTTAACTAGAAATAAATAAGCACATAAAGAAATGGCAGCTATTCTAGTGGGGGCAGGTGATAACAGGCCATCATACACTATGTGTTATTCTGGGATTCAAAGAGTTAGCAGGATCATCCAAACAAGATGTCAACTCAAGGCACAAGATGTCAACTCAAGGCACAATTTCAGTGAGCCCTACCGATGTGAAGTTTCTCCTTCTGGTATCTGGGCCTGGAGAGGAATAGGACAGTTGTGCAACTATCCCTATTATAATCATAATCATCATAAAGTACCTAGCCGACGCATAGGCGATCATGCCTGTCTACAATCTGCGATCTACAACAGCATGTAGCAGTTCGTGTGATGACACCCCTCTATGGCATGACAAAAGGGTGTCTTTTCATGCAGTCTTGCCTTCAGAGCCCCTGATATTATTATAGGGCTATACGTATACTTTATAGACCAATTGGCCCTTAGTGGGTGATCTGGTCAGCGTCACGGCGGCTGCCTTTACTTCCCAGGTATTGTACCTGGGACCCACTCGACTCCAGGCTGGGTCGACCTGGCAGTCAAGATCATAACTGAAAAAAAGTCCGTCACATCAGGATTAGGAGAGAGCCTCTATAGAGGTGATAATTTAGTATTATGAGGCCTGGAGAAAAGTCTTTAGTATGAGGCCTGGAGACAAGTCTTTATATCAATCTCATGGAAACAACAAAAATATTACTACCCTACAACACAACCTTAGGCCTTAGGAGTATCTTTGATGCAAACTTTTCTGTATTTGAGACTAACATTAAAGTATTAAATATTATATTACATGTCTGAAGCTTGTTGCCGCCGAAAGTGAGGCAGGCCAGATTTTAGCTACTATTTTTAGACACATACCGTTAGGATGCTACCAACAAACAGTTATATAAAAAAGGAAGCTGAACAAGTATAGATGAGAGAAACCTTACTCAGTTTTCAAATCGAATTCGCCTTCAACGTCAATATCATCATCCGCCATCTTAGACTAGTAGCTTCCCAAAACATCCGTACCTCTGTTGTGTCCCCTGACAAGACAGAATGTGTGAGGATTGTGTCCCCTTGTGGCGATGGCTAACTATGAATAACTATGTTTTAAGAATCAAACTAGCGCCTTCTCCAGATTAAAACATGACCGACTATAGCTACTATAACCAGGGCCATCTTAACACGTGGGATGCTGAATTTAACACAAAAATTGACTAGAAAGCTCAACGAAAGGAATGTAAAAGACGCAGATGAACACACCTGAACGTTTCGACCAAAGTCTTTTTCAATGTAAAACTAATTTTCTGTAATTTGCTGGAGAAATTCCTTTAACATTAAAAGATCGAACCAGAATACACAATGTTGAAATGTCCGTAGATCCATCTAGGATTATAGCTTATTTGTCGTTCTTAGTTTGTTCTAGTCATTCCCTTGTGGGATGCAATTTTTCGTTATTTTGAAGCAACACACTGGCTCTTACCAGGGGCCGCAATATAGCCCGGCCATAAATATGGTATAATGGCTGAACGCAGTTTCTGGGACCTTTCCAAGGGTGATCTTCATCCAGATAGTGGCCCTTTGTGTCATCGGGTGTTTATCGTTTGTGTGATGTCCTAGTGGGGTAAAATGTTCTACTATTGTTCTTCAATATTTATCCGTGAGATTATCTTTCAGCGATGGAGAGGTTTTTGAAAGAGTCGAGAGCCCGAAGACAAATTATCACAGACATCAGACGGAGACAGTCATCATTTTTTGGCCATGTTATGAGAAGAGAGAAAATAGAACATGTGACCACTGGAAAAATCTGTGGAAGGAGGGATAGAGAAAGACAACGAGAGAAGATGCTTGACAGTCTTGTTGCATGGCATGGAGATGTGTCGTCACATGAACTGATACATGCCGCATGAGATCGCAGATTATGGAGAGCCTGTCGGCAAGGCACCTGATGATGGAGAGGTGATATTTTTAATTAAACAAGAGAGGGGGCTGCGTAGTCTCGAGGCAAGGTGTCTGCTTCAAGTGCTGGAGGTTCCGGGTTCAATCCCCGGTAAGGGCTGGGATTTTTTCGCGTTGACTTGGACTTCTAATAATTCCCCCTGGTTTCTGGGTAGTGAGATTGGACGCCCGTGTGCATTGTTGCGCACGTATAAAATCCTTTGGCAGTTGTAAATCGAAAAGAAAAGCCCAATAGCGCTGCCCGGGCAAAATGTTGACTTTAAAATCTACCCATAGTATTTCAGGATCCTCGCTGGTGCTACAGAGCCTGTGCACTGTGCCGAGCTTCTTTGGACTCAGACTTGCGTTAGAAGAATGGAGCACTTATGGGTTACATCCGTGGGCCATGATGTTGATCCGTTGTTCAAAACCTCAGATTAACCAAGAAAGTTATGTTCTCTGTAACCTTATGTGCTTTAAGTGATCCCTTGACCACGATCTCTCATTTGTTCCCTAAGATAGTAGTGGCTGATAGAACGGATGACAATTACAGGCCACACATACAGCTACTTCAAATTCTGCTGCCCTAACTTTATCATAATTTTGTCTGGGGCATACACTTGAAGTTTATTCCGCCCTGTTAACGGAGTCCCTGTTCGTTTTTTGTTTTTTCTTTAGATTTTGTTCATGCCCAGCGAGGCCACTGGCTTTATGCAGAATGGTACAGTTGCATGTTGTTCGTCCATCACACGTTATGAGGACCTCTCTTTCGATCATCCTTCGTGTAACTGTAGTTGGCCGTCTGTAAATCCGGGTGTGACTTATAAGCTTATAGAGATCTAGGAGCAGGGAACAGTATCTGTTGGTAAAGGGCCTGTTATATGCATGCCTGCGTCGTTCAGATTCCCTTTTTCTTGAAGTCTCGCAGGTCACTATCCCTCTTCGGAAAGATATTCGCTTTGTGCAACAGCCCCCCCCCCCCCCCCACCCCCCACCCCGGTGTCACGGTCAATGTTAAAGACTAAAAGTAATGCCTTTAGCTTGCCCTTGAAGCGTTTTTTTTTTTTTCTGGCGGCCACGAGAGTCTGCCTTGTATCTCACTATTAAAGATCACTTTTGGGAGTCGGTGGTCTGGCAAGCGACGACGTGTTGCATAACTTACAATAAGCGTTTTTTGATTCACCACAAGATCTTTCAACAAATACGCAAGACTTTCCCCAATGCAGCTTTGTATTTACGACTACTGTCATATGATTATTTCCATTCTTTTTCCCGCCACAGTTTAAAAACCCTTGCGAAATTCCACACGGAAAAAAAAAAAAATGCTGGACATTGGACGATCTTTCTAAATTTTAAGTTGGCAATCCTGCTTCAGAGCGTAGCTCAAGGCGGGAAAGGAGAGGAAACGATGTCACTTTCATAATCTTTAGTACTAGATGTCAATCTTCCGACAGTAGTCTCAGCGGAGAGCTTACAAAAAAAAAGTGTCCTAGCCGTTCAAAAAAGTTTCATTATTCACAATTCTGAGCTGTTTCGATTTATTAGCTAGATATTGCGACCATCGCCAAGAGGAGAAATACCACAGGGTGATTTTCAAGTGAATGCAGACAATGGGCAGATCTTTTTTTTTTTTCGTCATCAAAGGGAAGAGTTGCATGAAGCTGTATTTTTTTTAGTTCGCCTGTGACACTTTTCTAAGCTGTCTGCGATTTTCAGCCTGGTACCTCTAATTTGATCATGATTTTCTGTTAGGGCGAGCTGCCTTAAAGGGCATGGAGAAAACAGACAAAAAGCGACACCCTGGACCTCCAGACTGAGGATGAAATGTGTGCTATACATCACACCTTTGTCAAAAATCGGGGGCTAGTAGACATATACATGTGAGTGAGACCAGTTAGACCGACTTGTGCCAAGAAGAATCTTGCCATCGAACAAAGCCCTAGCAGTATTGTGAATACCATGTGTTGTCCTGCAGTCCGATCCCCACACGATCAGCTTTGTGAACTCCAAAGGACAGGTGCTAGCAAAATATTTGGAAGACAGCACACAGCAGAAGCTCTCAGATCAGAAGAGCAGTGCCCTGTCTGTCTGTTACTGGTGCTTCCCTCCTAAACCAGCTGTCAATCAAGGCTAACGACCTGGTCTACCAGGCCATAACAATTAAGTTCTCGAGCTGCATTTCTTCACCCTAGGATAAGGCCAGTATCTTTCTTAATGGGCTCTTTAGCTTGAAGCTGTTGGCAGGAGATGAAATGTCAGCTTTGGCATATGCTGCTCAACATTGTGCGTTGAGAAAAGGCAGGACTGACTCATCATCATCACGTAGCAGGTCCTTTGCAGAACGTCGCTCTCATCACCGTCTGCCTGAAAGAAACTCGGTCTCTCGCCAGTTCTCCCGCCTCATGTACTTTCATACTCAAGGAGTCACTTATATCCTGTGCCCATCTTCGTGTCGGTCGGTCCCTGTCTCTCCTTCCTGGTACCATGCCTTCTATTATATTTTTTTTTCCAATCCGTCGTGGCGCTTGATATGACCAAAATATTTAAGCTTCCGAGACAGGATGCTGTTTATTAGCCAATCTTCCTCGATGTTCAGATCTTTCAAGATGTCAGTATTTATCCTCTTTTTTTTGTCCAAGATACTCTGAGAATCTTTCTATAGCATTTCAGCTCAAAAGCCCCTATTCTCTTTTCTAAAGACTGAGAGATAGTCCACGACTCACATCCGTATGTAGCCACAGGGAAGATGCATTCTCTCAATTTTCTAATCAGTACTGACCGCTAACACAATATACACCTGTACAGGCTTCTCGACATTGCTCTTTTTTTTACTGTAACTGGCAGTCCTCTATTGCTATTTTTTCCTTCTTGCAAAAGGCGACTTTCACCATGGTGATTTTTGCCATACTCTTGAAGATCTAACACAAGAAGAAATAGCAAAAGAAGAAGCAAAGAAGAAGAATAAACAGATGAATAAGCAAAGCGGAAGAATAAACAGAAGATGAAGCAAAGAAGAAGAATAAACAGAAGAAAAAGAATAAACAAAAGAAAAAAATAAACAGAAGAATAAACAGAAGAAGAAAAATAAACAGAAGAAAAAGAATAAACAGAAGAAGAAGCAAAGAAGAAGAATAAACAGAAGAAGGTGTAGCTAAAGAAGAATGAATAAAAGAAGAAGAAAATCAGTAGCTAGGAGGGTGAATAAAGAAGAAGAAGATGAAGAATATGTTAAAACAGAAAAAGCAGTAGAGAGAAGGGGAGAAGAACTAACAGGTCATAATACCGATTCAAACAATGACTTTTACCAGCCATGATTGGGTGAGAGACAGAGTTAAAAGGGTGTAAATGAAGGAAAGAGACATATGAAGATATGTTACGTTATGTTATCAGAATTAACGTCTTCGCCCATTGAGCATCCCCATGCATGCTCAGTCCTCCAATGCAGCAGTCACTTAAAGTTACCGCTACTGATTGTTCCCATAAAAAGTTGGTTATAGTATCTCCTGTCTTTACCTCAAAGAAGACATAGTCATGCTTCACCAAGCTTAACTCACTGGTTCTGCAGTCGTGTTAGCATCAGAGATTCGCCATTATCCCCCCAACCTAGTCCGTACAGCGTTGATGATATCAGCTCTGTCTATGCTTCTTCCCATCTGCATTGGTGCATTACCTGCCAGCTGGTCAGCTTTTTCATTATTATTTACTCCTGCATGCCCAGGTGTGTAGATCCAGATGATGGAGGCCAACTGCGACTTCCAAATGCTTTCTACCCATTCAGAGTGTAGACTGCTTGTAGCGATTTTCTGAAACATGTTCAGAGTCTAAAACGATTACCGCACGTGTGGCTGCTTGTTCTGCTACCCATGCGAGTGCTCTGGAAGCAGTAGTTATCTCCCTGGACATTGTTGTCTGGTAAGTACCGCTAATCTTTTACTGTTTTCCCCATCCTTTGTGCTGTGTATACCCGTGCTTCACGGACCCATCCGTATAAATGACGACATCAATCAGTGCCCCAATCTCGGTGTCTAGGGTGACATTTATCTGACTCTTGCAGTACCT